TGGGCAGGATCATGCCTGACTAAACCATCCCAGCTGAGGTTCTATCTAACCTGATGTTGACAATTTCCAGGGATTGAGATTCCACAATTTCTTTAGGAAGGCATGAGTGCTTTGAGTCAAGCAAACTGAGCATTCTTCCAAAACTTCTTTCACAGGCAATTTTGAAATGTTCAGGTTTCATTTCTAATTAGAATGAAAACAAATTCTGAAATCTAAAAATGCTCCATGAAACAGGATTTCCATTCTCCACACAGCCCTAGCTAGCTAATTCTGAAAGCTTGAAAGTTAAAGATTTTCTTAATTACACTAACCACAGGTCCTTATTTAACCATACTGTTTCTGTGTTTTCTCTTGGTTTCAGCACATGTACTGGATAGAGGGCTCCTGAAAAAAAAAGCCGTTGAGTTTTAATTATACAGTCCCTGTAACTTTACCCAGTATTTTCCCTTGCATGGCATGTGCACAACTGCATTATTGTAAGGCTACTCAAAGTGAGCACTGGCAAGAGCGATGTGCAGGACCTGGGATGACATACCAGTGAGCACATCTGTTCAGAAATGAGATTTGTTGGCAGTACTACAACAGTCCCCAGGGCATTTTCTGCTCCTCTTCTTTCCCCTTCCACCATTAACCGGGTTGCTTTCCCACCTATCAAAAATAAATTATATTTAATAATTAAAGACACCAGTTGGCCAAGTGGTTTGTTTTTTTGGAATGTAACTGAGCCATATCTGATAAAATTGTAATTGGCCCAAACCAGAATGAACAATTCATTCTCTTTTCCTTTATTTTGTTATATTTTTCATTTCCATGAAGGTCTCTTTGCTTCTAAGTTCTGGCCAAAAGTGATAGTGGGAAATAGTAAAAATTTCATGAGGAAAAGTTCCTCCTAGATTTCCTGTCTTAGGTCTGCCAGTACAAGATACCGTTTTAGTTGCTTATCAGAATGAAACATGGTTTGCAACCTTGATGGTTTACTTTCTGCTGCAACTCATCCCTGTCAATCAGCTCCTTCCATGCTACAGCAGGACAGAATTTCTACTTAAAACCCAAACAGAGAGAAAAGATAAACTCCATCCCCAGCACACGATTAGAGAACGTTGTTAGGTGGAGTGAAAAAAAAAACAGTTCATATAAAACAAAAACAAAACAAGAATAAGTGAGGTTTGGGTAAAAATTGTGAACAAAGTGAAAAGATTAAGGAGTTCCACAAACACAAGTTTTTTGATCCATGGTACAAGAGGTTGGATATGGTGGATTATCACCTCCATATCACCTATTCCAAGTTAACAGATCAGTAGTAACTGAAAATTATCTCCTTCTGATTCATGATCTTTCCAAAAGGATTCTGTGGTCTAAGTCCATTTCCTAGGTGACTGAGGTCTGTATTAAAACATTTACAGCGAGCAATAACTGGAACCATAATGCTGATAATCATAAGAGACTGCAAGGATTGCAGTCTCTTATGATTATCATCATTATGATTATGCATTATGATTATCAGTATTATGATTGAATTGGCATAATTCAATCATAATGAATTATGCCAATTATCAGCAGCATTATCAGCATTATCAGCATTATGATTATCAACTCTTATGATTGAATTGGCAGTGAGAATTCAGCAAGTTTCTTACTGCTTAGGGTGGTCTCTCCACAGAAAGTTTCAGGTACATTGTACTGGTAAGAAGCTTGTACTGGTGATGCCTGAGCTGTACTTGTTCCCAAAGATAAATACTGGGCTCAATATCCAAAGAGATTACTTAGCCATTTTCTCCAGTGCTAAATTATAGATGTAATGCACATATTAAAGAGGTGGAAATGGATGCATTAGCACTAAGAAAAGAAAGAATAAAAATGTATGCAAAAGACTATATATACATATATGCATACACCCACCACACAAATAGTTATAATTCCAAAAAGATCCAGTAAAAATCGTTATTATACATATAAAAACAAAATTAATATAATACTAAGGATGTGAATTTGAACAAAAGCCAGTCAAAATAATGCAAAAATAGAAGTCCAACAGCATAATTAATTCTGCCACGTTACACTCAGGACCAGATTCTATTCCACCTATTGGGCATCTAAATGGACTTAGGTGTCTAAGGGTGATTCTAGTCCAAACAGTTGAGGTCCTGAAAATTCAGTTATGCATCTATTTGTGTAATGCAGCATTCATTATCTGACCCTTAAGGGAAGTAAGTGCTGCAGATTTAATAACCTAACCTGTCACACATAATATGCACAATGTGGTAGATCAACTTTTAAGTTGGAATCTTGTTGGATTTATTTTTTAATCTCCTACCTTTTGGGTTCCACACTGTCCAACTTAATGTTGCATCAAAATAAATTGTTTGTACTTGGACTTAAATTTGCTGAGCTAAAGCCATGAAATTCCAGTGGCAGTAAATCAGAATTTCATATGCATCTTTTGCAAGAGAACATGGTCTGAACCTTTTTTTTTTTTTAATGGTTTAAAAAAACACTAAGAAACTGCACAGTTTACTTTATGCAGTTTCACAGATTTTGATCTGTGGTTTACTACAGGCGTGCATAAAATAGGTGCACCGTTATGGAGTTGAAAATAAGGGTCTGGACCTCTGAAAGGCTGCATAGTCTGCCACAACTGATTTCTGTGGAAGTTAAGGACATTCAGCACCTCACAGGAAGTACAGAGTGCCTTGCAGGATCATGCCGTAAACAACTCATTTAGAGTAATCTGACTAAAAAACAATCGAGATCAGACATTATCATTCAGCTGTGTGGAAATGGATCATTAAGCACTTAGTAGTATAACTTCATTATTTTTAATGAAATATAATACTGTGTGTATATCTGAACAGCTCTCTTTCTCTCCCTCCCTATATTTACACACACACTTATATACTATTCAATTTACCAAGTAACTCTTATCCATTAAGGATTACCCACTTATGAAGTCAACCATTTTGAGTTATGTTTTTTTTTTAAAAGAATCTTCTAGATTTTTTATAAAACTGCAAACTTTTCATTTAAACTGCTTGCAAATGTGCAAAAGGGGAATGTGGTAAAAAGGAATTTTGCAGAGAAAAGAGACCCCAGTCTTCATCTCCCCAGAGTGTCCTGCCCACTCCCAATATTTCCTGTAGAAATCAATGGGCAACATAGAACATTAGGACCACATGCTGCCCTCCCAGGGGAAAATCCATGAGCAGGTATTATATATATATATATATATATATATATATATATATGAAAACTCAATGAGCCAAATTCCACTACAAGTATAAATGTGCTTTAAACCCACCAACGTCACTGATATTGTTCACAATCAAAATATGGACCACCAAATTTAAAACCATGGGACCCAATTTTCCAGTGCATTGTATCCAGTGTTGTCATCTGCACCTGTGTACAGCCAGTGTAAAATGCTACCGTTCCATTCCAGGCATGTTCTATATCTGTTTTTCCCTAGTTTTGCTGACTGACCGAAGTGCAAGGCCATAGCGAATCAAGCCCAGAGCTGTTGACAGATGCTCCTCTCAGATGGAAAGGGCTGGGTGGGGCCATGGTATACAGAGCTGATCAGTTGGCAAGAAAAAAAGTGTTTTTGAATAATTTATTATTTTCATTCAAAGACTGATTAAAAAAACGAATAAATTACTTGCTGAATGTTATTTGTCCAACTATAAAGCTGCTCAAATAATGAGGGGAAAAAAAGTATTTGTCATTAATTTATTCCTAACTATGCAAAATATGGATTAATTATTCACAAGACAATTATTCACAATCAATTAGTTCAAATTTCTCAGACTAACGGAAATCATTCTAAGGAAACTTTCCTTAATGGCCAGCTTACATTTTCCCTCATACAATTACATCCAATTGTGTCTCGTTATAACTCTCAGATACCTTAAAGTTAATCTGCAAAGAGAGAAAGCGTGGGGTTTGTCAAAAGCTATTGGCCTATAGGCTTTTTTGCAGGGAGAAGCACTTGGTGCAGAAGAACAGGGCTACTATACCCTAACTCCCCTCTAGGATAGAGCAGCCAAGGGCCTATTGCAGCTTATTCTGACTAGCAGTGGCCTCAAGTGACTAAACCTATGCCACATGGAGATTGCTGGAATATGCTGCAACTCATCCCATGCCTACCACTTCCTCTACACCTGTGCCACATGAGAGTCAGTGCTGGGTCCAGCTATGTTGACTCTATGCCAGATGACAGCTCTCCTAAACTAGGGGAAATATCAGCAGGCCAGAACTGGCTGCACTCCCACCCCTTTACTGTGTTCACAGGGAATCTGGCCAAATGGAGGGAAGGTTAGAGGGGGGAGCTGTTTGCTTTCTGCAGTAGAAACTCAAGTCTTATCTTTGCTGAAATGCAGTTTGTTGACTGAGAAACTAGTGAAATTAGAATAACAAAACAAAATGAAAGATATGCTAAATGGAAATGAGAAAGGATCATTAGTCAGACTGGTCTGTCCTGGGGTTTTGTTTGCTTGTTAATACCTATTTAACTCCAATAAGTAATTAATGCTTTGGAAAGAGCATTGCTTTATTAAACCTTCGCTCCTCACCCTCTTTCAATTAAGATGTGAGAGGTCACAGTAACCATCCCTGAGACCTCCCAGAGGACCGGGACCCCTCCCAGCTAAACCCTGAAATGTCAAAGGTAAAATAAAAGGGCGGGGGGGAAATCTTAAAAAAAAAAATCACAACTCTAAAGGGTTCTTTATACTTTACAAAGAAAAAAAAGTACTGAAATCCCCTTCCACAGTGGATCCCTTTCCACAGCTCTTCTCTCCTTGGTCTTTGTATACTTCAGATAATTCTGCACAAATAGTATGCTCCTCTTAGCTGTAATGCAACCATTCTACATATATTTGGTTCTTTTAATTTTTTCTTGAAGCAAATCTCTCCAGCCCCATAACCACTTGGCCACCTGATAGGTTATTTCTCAGTATATGAAGCTTAACCATTCAGATTCATCATGGAAGAAAGCTCATTTCTACCTTGTCTGCCATGATCATGGAGGAGCCTCCATGGATGCCCAGGATGGGTGTGAGGGTCTGGGCAGAAATGAAGTCCAGGATCTGGGCAATGGCTTCCTGGTCTGTGTCATCAGCAAACACCACACCTTGAATCTTCCGGTCTGACATGAGGTCACAGATGCGAGTGATGATGCTCTTGGGGTCTGTCTCATTCATGGCCACCAGTTCGACCCGGGGCACCACTGAGAGGTGATGGAAGTCATCTTTCTCGTGGGCATCCTTGATGGCCACTTCGTCTGAGGTACCCACGAGAATGACAGCAACACCAATGCTGGGGTGGCTCTTCTGGGCACGGGCCCCACCACCCGTTGTTGCTAGGACTGCCAACACCAGCCAAAACTGTGGAGAATAGCACTCTGCCCTGGGCCTCATCTTCAGCTCTTACACTCCCTAAAAAAAAAAAGGAGAGAGAAGGAAAGAGAAAGTGATTAACTAACAAATCCATTCAGCAATCAGCCTTCAAGGCAGATCATTGATCCATGGGGTGCAAAAGCCCCACTTCTAGTCAGACTTTTGGTCCATGCTGGTGTCCAGCACCGAGGCCTAGTCCAAACTCAACAAAAAATCAACAAGAGTCTCTCCATTAATTTCAGCGGGCTTTGGATGAAAACATCCAGGAGCAACCTTTGTTTGTTCAGAGGAAGAGAGAGGTAGGAAGAGAGAAGAAAGAAACTGGAGAGTTAAAGGGATTCAGCAAAGAATACACAACTTGTCATCACTAAGGCCTGGTTTTACCTTAGAGTCAAGCCAACAGTAACAGGAAATTATTGTCCTCTCATGGCTATTCAGCTGCCTTTGTAAAACAAGGTGGTGCTGTCAGCCCTGTATCTGTGTGTATGTCTCCAGCACAAAAGCTATTGTCACACACTTACCACCAGTATTCCCTTTGGGCAGTATTAAGTTGAGAGGCCAAAGACTGACTGAAAAGCTCTTGGAGGCAGAACTCCCCTCTCAACTCAGTCTGCGGTCCCCCCTTCCCCACAGATGTAAGTCAAGTCACACTGGCAGAGGCAGGGCATGTGAGTATGACCACAGTAACTACACCTAAGCCACTTTGTGGGAGTGGAGACACAATTCATCAGCATGGCTCATAGTGCAGATGGCCAATTATGCATTGCTATATAGCACATGGGAGACTCTTCCTCCTAAACCCATTTAGGGGCCATCTTTAGCCTGAAGCATAAAATCCATTGTCCCTTATAAATGTTTATTGCCAGGTGGTGTAACTGCAGATCTTCCTGTGAGCCACAACCTGAAAATGTCAACTTCTTTTTTTAAACATAACAGTTAGAAATAGGAAAGACCTATTAGGTCATCAGTTCAACCCCTGGCTGTGTCAGATGGCTCCCTGCAGGACAGTTGATAGTTTATTCAGTCTTGCTTTAATAAGACTTAACATTTATATCGTGCCTTTCATTTTCAAAGCCCTTTAAAAACTTTAACTAATTAATCTTCATAATACCTCTTTGAGGTATTATTATCGTCACTTTACAGATCTGGAAACCAGAACACTGTGCTTAATCTATGACTAGCCTACAACCACCAAGGAAACAAAGGCTTGCTGGAATTAGAACTCAAGCACTCCTGCTTCCCAGGCCCATACCCAGCTCAAGAGACCATTTCACTCTCTGAAAGGAGCTTCATGCATTTCAAATTATGGAAGGCTGTTCATTAAATGGATGGATCTCATGAAGCTATTCATCTTAATAATCCATTCTGCAACAGTGACTTAAATGATAGCTACACCAGAATTTCCTTTAAACGACACCAGCTGTCATCATCTTGTACTTGTGTTGTAGAGAAGATAAAATAGGAGTAACCAACTGGATATCCCTGTACTGGTCATTACTTAACATACTTCTATCAAACCTCCTTCCCTCTCCAGGTGCACAGACAGTATATCCATAACAGCAGTAATGAGACTGACAGGACCTTGGAGAAGGTTGAAAACAATTCAGCTTTATGTTCTGTTGCCCGGCATGGAGTCAATACCTTATTGTAGAACATTGTTGCTTGTGTGGTCAACTCACGACTAGTTTTCTACTTGTACTGTTTAGAACTGTTTTCTCCTGATAATGCTTAGAAGAAAGTTTAAGTTCAGTTCACGGTCTCTTATTTCCAGGCCAGACAAGGAGTGTATATACTGCATTAATACCATCAGATAAATAAATAGATAATAAATATTCACAGAAGGAACCAAATCTACTTACAGACTGAAAGGACTGTGGGGATGAAATTTCAATCGATTCCAGCCTTTCTTCTCGATTCCCTTTCTGAGAACAAGCTCACAGGGAGAACCAAGAGATTTTGAGAGTTTGGCAAAACGAACAGTGAACTCCACTGCAGCAGGACTGTTATCCTCCAATTACGAGTCACATTAGATTCCTTCACAGTGAAATACGGTCCCCACTACTGCGACACTTTATTAACTTTAATACACTTTCCACTCTCTCATTCTCGCTCTCTCACTTTAATGTTATATTTGCTCTCTTTCAGATATGTCTCCTGTGATCTCTCTGTTTATTCTCACATTGGATAATACACTTGATTAGGCAATAGCTATTTGTGATGCTCACAGAACAGAATCTGGTTTTACAGGGGCCCTGTTTTACACTATGTATATATCGAACAGCTTTACAAAGTACTGAATTGGACACTAGCAATGCAGGAGCTATGCTGACAAATGTGATAGCTGTTCTGCATTCACACCCAACAACAAACTTGTTTTGTCAGAATGGGAGATGGGGGCACCTCTTATATAGTTCCATTCAACTAGGGCAGGGTTTTTCAACCTTTTTTAACAAGTGTACCCCTTCTGCCTCAAAGTTTCAGCTCATGTCCCCTTTATATTTTTTCTTGGTTTTAAGGGGGAGGGGGCACATAAAGGCCCCCATGATGAAGGAGGGAGGGCGTGCGTGGGGTGGCGGCGCCCCCCCCCCCCCCCCCCCCCCGATCTCTGTGCAGGGCAGAGCCAGCTGCTGCTACAGGCTGGACTCTGCACCCCACTGCCCCAAGACACCAGGCAGGCAGGGGACACACACTCACACACACACACACACACACACAGACATGGACACAGACACAGACATACGCACACACACACAGACAGACATGTGGAGATGCGCGCACACACACACACACACACACACACCCCCAGCAGGTAAGTGTTTGTGGGGGGAGGGCTGGGGGTGCAGATCAAGGGGTGGGGAAGTGTGTCTCTGTGCCTGCTCCCAGGAGCAGGGCCAGGGGGGGTGAGGGCAGTGGTGCACCCCTGTGGGACACATGCATGCCTTCCAGCTGGCCGGGGGGGGAGCGGGACTAGCACACGACAGCCGCCACCCCCACATGCCACTGCTGCCACGCCGCTTTGCCATGGCCAGTTGCATGTGTGGCTCTGCGGGCCGCTGACAGGCGGTGCGCAAGGTGCGAGGTGCATTAGCAGCCCACGGAGTCACACGTGTCACTGGTCACAGGAAAGCAGCGCAGGGCATGGCAGCACCAGCAGCATGGGACAGTGGCAGTTCCTGTGTGCAAGCCCTGCCCTCCCTCCCCCCAGGCAGCCGGGCAGTGCATCTGCACCTGGCAGAAGCGCACCACTGCCCTCAGCCCCCCGCCCCCACACTGCTCCTGGGAGTGGGCACAGACAGCGAGCTGAGGTAGGGAATGGGGAGGCGCCACGGTATGCTGTGTGGGGCTGGCGGCGCCTGGTGTGCCCCTCTCTTTCCCCCTCCCCCAGGTAAGAAGTATGGGAAAGCACCAGGGGAGAGGCTGCCACCATGTCCCAAGGCGTGATCCATCCCTGCCCACCCACCCATGCATACCCACTATGTCCTTTCTAAGTACCCCTGGGGGTACGCATACCCCTGGTTGACAATCCCTGAACTAGGGCAATCACTAACTTTCATCTGAATGAGCCAGGCAAAAAGGAACTCATACCCAGATCCCTAAGGTCCTGAGGTTTCACTCCACTAAGTGTTGTAACAACTAACCCAAGGGTTTCAAACAGTTGGTCCATGAACTGGATCCTGCCCACAAAGCCGTCATCTGGTTCACAAAGCTCCTAGAGGGGTCAGAAATTCAGGGGCATAGCAAGTGGGGATGAAGGCCAATGCCAAAACCTAGGGTATGAAGCCCCACGGGGGGGAGGTGGGGGGTGTCGACAGTGGGGTCAGAGAGACAAATGCATTAACCCCCACACCCAGATCCACCCCTGGGGTCGGATGAGTTTGACAGCCGTGGTTTAAGCCATAAGCAACCTGCCATCTGGTGAAATATTCAGCCCTGGGCTAAATGCCCAGCCTTCCCAACTGATGCATGAAGATAGGTGCCTAGGAAAGGGATTTTCAGAAGACTGCTATTTGCCTGAGTTAACCAGGTGGCGAGTGCTGAGGAGAAGGGTGGGGAGAGGAAGGGGGCTACCTGACTGACAGGCCAGAGACAGGTACCATCCTCTGCTCATGATCCTCAGCCATAGACCTTCTCCTTGTGGTGTGAAGGAGACAGAGGCCCCCTCTACATGTTACAGGTATTGCACAATTGACTGATTAATTGCGCAGTTACTTAAGACCAGCTACACATACAAAGTAGCTATCACATGATAAAAAGCTCCAATGAGCTATAAAAATAGACCTTGAAAATGTGTACTAAGTTTATAGCTGGTTGCTATAGAGCTCTAATTTGCATGCATAGCAGGGTCTCGCCTGCAGCCAAGGAGCCCTGGCAGCTGACAGGACTCCCAGCCACAGGGGTGCATCATGCCAATCTGAAACCCCCGGGCTCTGGGGATCATGGCTGTCATGATTCCTAGGACACCAGGGTACATGAAACCCCTAAGCTCTAGGGATTGAGAGAGCTGTGATCCTTAAGGTTTGTGGGGGTCATGAAAACCCTGAGACCTAGGGATCACAGCTGCCTCAATCCCCAGGTCTTGGGGATTTCACGGACCCCTGAGCCCTAGAAATCATGGCTGCCTTCATCCCCAGGGCTCAGGGATTTCACACACCCCCAAGCCTGGAAGACTGCAGCTGCTGTGATCCCCCAGACCCAGGGGTGCATGGGGCATCCTGCAGCTGAGACCCCCTCAGCTGAGAGGGCTCTGAGCCGCAGGAGCTTGCTTCTTGCTGGTGCTGGGGGAGCCTGGGATGGGGTTCCCACTGGACCAGTGATAAGGCATGATGGGATCTAAAGCTTAATCCCACAATCAAACCTCCTGCCATGCATGTGTGGCATGGCAGGAGGCACGATTGCGTGAATCACACAGTAGATCCCATCACACCTTTACCTGCATTTGTAGAGGGGGCCAGAGACACATGCAGTCATACCATGGTTTGTCATTGACCTCCTCCCCAGAAACTGTCCCAACTTTATTTACA